ATGAAGCCTTCGGCATAGCCGAAGACAGCGCTGCTCTTACTTGTTTTTTGTAATTTATGTGCTGATAAGGAAAGCAATTAAAATACATTAGGAAATAATTACACTCGAATTATGACTGCTTGCTATAACGGCTTGTGACGTTAATTTAAACTAAAAATAATTTTGTCAATGTTATTGTGGCTTATTAACATTTTTAATTTTAATATTTTTAATGAGCTTTGTACCACGATTGTTTATTAGGAAAAATTGAAAAAGCAACAAAGTCGAAGCGATGGAAGTTATAGCAGCTATTTCGGAGATCACCGCATCTCCTAATCAGACTTCTTTTTTCTCCGGTCTTATCCCGGCGAGAATGACGTGAAAATAATTACGCGTGCGATGACACCGATTAACTTTAAATTACATTTAGAATATTTAAATGGTAGTGTTTATTAAATTTCAGATTTTTTTATTATGATGCAATAATGCGGATAGACTATGTATTAAATTAAACTTTTATTCGTTTGTCTTTTGTAACATACAAAATCCTATAAAAATTTAACTTTCATAACACATATAACGCTAAGTCATTCGTACCCATATTTACTTCATGCACGTGTATCTCGCTGCCTAAGTATAATGCATTGAGTGCTAACTATCTAAACGCTGAAAGACGTGAATTAAAAAAAAAATCTAAATATGGCCGTTCAAAACCGCCGTGGGTCGATATGACCCAGCGTCATTTAATAGAGAGAGAAAAACCGAATTGAGTTTCCTGCAAATGGACCATTACCTATTTCCGGCAAAGTATAATGAATTTTTTGTTTTAAGAAATTCGCAGAGGGTGTTGGGGAAATTGTAATTGACCGATATCTTCAACATTTTGCGAACAAATAATAATAGTTTTTAAATTATTTGTTTTTAAAATTACTCCATTACTTTACAATATTTTAATATAAGCACTGCACTAATCACTTTTCTTTTTATTAATAAAATATATTTTCTTCATAAACAAATGAGTGCATATCGTTCTTTTTACAAAATATGAAACAAAAGATTCTTATAAAAAATACTTTGTGAGGCGTTACGAAATTGCAGGTTAAAAGGAATGTCATGCAGAAATATTAATTTGATGGTCTAATATCTATAAAAAACTATTTAATTAAATTGTGAAAATTCGTGATTAAAAAGCGCTGAAAAAACTATATTTTAAGTGTAGGTTTAAAATTTGCTAAAACCAATCGCGCGATTTTTTAATACAAATTTTCACCTGTATCGCTTTTTTTTTTCAAATTAATACTTCGATGTCCATACATACATTGAAAATACCATATAGAGTGAGAGTATGCACGCACGAAGCTATAACATTTATGTATGTATACACATTTAAACTTTATTATTTGCTTTTGAATTTTTTCTGGTTTCAGTTTTTTTTTTTTCTAAATGTTTTCGTTATGTGTGGCAGCACCGAAATTTCAGTTCAATTGTTTCATAAAGGTTTGAGGACTTTTTCGGGATCTTTCAAATTTTTCGATGACTTTTCTTCTTCGGTACGTCACTTTACAAAATCTCTTGGTAATTTCAGATTTAGCAAATCACTTAACAATAAATTCACTCTTTGTATGCTTTAGACAAAAAAAAAATGCGATTGATTTACGCTTGATAGATATTAGAGAAATTGCGTGCAAACATTTTCGGCTCAAAGTATCAAATTATCACTCAAATTATATAAAAACCTGCCACACCCTGCAATTTATAAAACAAAAAATACAAACTTACTGTAGACGAAACACATACACGCAATTGTATAATATTCTCACATCATTTAGTACCACACTCGATTATATTTCATTCAAAAAACTACACGGCTCCACACACCACTCTGCAAGCGCCCACCAATCCGCATCTCAGTTACTTACCTTCATTGCTTCGCTCCAAGTACATCTTGTCCGCATGTGAGCCTCCTCTGTGCATACCGCTAAGATCAACTTCACTACCACCACCGCCACGGCCACCGCCACCTCTCCCCAATAGTCCACCATTATCCATCACAGTCACGCCATGTTTTATCACCTCTGTGTATTTCCCACTACCGCCGCCACCGGCACCGCCTTTACCCTCCATTACATCGCCATTCGCATTTTTCTTTTGCAAATGATGCTTGTAACTTCCCACTGCATCGTCCATGCCCAGCACCACATCTGTGCCGCCGGCCACTGTAGTCGTCGTCGTCATCGTATGATGACCATCCATACCCGGCGTCAGCTGATCTGCCACATCGAAATGATGATGACGGTGATGTGCGGGACTCATTGCCTTGAAACGTTTGTAAATGCAGCAGGTGATGAGCGCAAGGAACACAGAGACGCTGAGCAAGCCCAGTGCCATTAGAGAAATCACAATGATTAAATTGCCCTGCAGCAGCATGTCGCGTTGGCCTGGCCGTTGTACCAACAGACTCATTTGTACGGCATCCTTGCCGCCCGCATTCTCCGCCGTGCACGTGTAAACACCTTCATCGCTCTTCTCCGCAGCCACAATGGTGAGACGCGAGATGAATACATCACGGCCGAATTCCTTCTCTTTCGATTGCTCATCGCGCAGCAGTTGTATGTGAACGCGCTGTGCTTGACCGCTGCCACAACAGCTGACTCCGCTGGCGCTACTGGTGGTGAGTGTGCTTGTGCCGCTGCCGCTGTTGCTGGTCGAAGCGCGATACTGTTGCCTGTTGAAGTCCCACGATATCAGCGTGTTTGGTGACGCATGCACACGGCACACCAGCGTCACATTCTCCTTCGATGTGTTTATGGAAGTACCGCGCGCTGGGAACATAATGCGCGGCTTGCATGCGAACGCTTCCGGTTGATCCTCTACCCAGAGCATGCCGCGTAGATGTACCGGATAATAGCAAGCCGTGGGCGGCGTATAGAGGTTACGCTTCAACACAAAGTCACGAAAGATCTGCAACTCGCAAGTGCAGTTCCACGGATTCGAATCGAGTGAGAGCGCAGTCAGTCGCTTAAGCGACTCAAAGGACTCTTTTCGCAGGAAGCTCAGTCTATTGCCATCCAAGTAGATCTGTGACAGTAGCGGCACGTTGCCGAACGCCTCTTGGCCAATACGCGCTAAACGATTGTGCTTTAGCTCGACCTTGTGCAGGTACTTAAGATTCTGGAAGACGCCATCGGCAAGCACCTCCAACCAATTGCCATTCAGCACGATCGAGCGCACCTTCACCAGTCGCGCAAAAACATTCGCTTGCAGGTTGCGTAACAAATTATTCGACAAATCCAATTCAATGAGTATCTCCAGTTGTGTGAACGTGCGCGGGTCGATCTGTTGCAATGACGCATTACGCATAAATAGCTTGTGTAGATTGTGCAGATCGGCATTGAGGAAGGCATTTTGCTCCAATATCGCAACACGATTGAAGGAGAGATCAATCACTTGTACCTCGTTGCTTAGATTTTCCGGCACCGCATTGAGCGAGAGATTCTTGCAGTCGGCAGTCTTCTTGCCCGATTGCCACTTGCACATACAGTCGCCACAGTCCATCAGCCAATCGGCCTGCGCTTGCGGGGGCATCGTACAGCAAAGGAGGATGAGTAGTAGAAAGTGGGGTAGGACGTGCAGCGGCAGTGGCAGCGGCAGCGGTATGTGTCGCGGCGCGCTGTTTAGGTTATATTTTGTGAAGTTTACTGAAGTCCTGGGTTGCTCTCCTATTACCAGACGCGCTACTTCAAAGTCGGTCGTTGATTGCTCGCTACCCCTCGGCAACACTGCTTCCTGCTGCGGCTGCTGCTCGGCTTGCAGTTTCTCTACTTGTACTGCCTTGGCTTGGCGGTCGTTGCACTTTCTTCGTTGCTGAATATTTGCTAGCTCGCTCTTACTTTCCCTTTTGTTTTCCTGTTCGTTGGTGTTTTTATAGTTTCTGTAGTGTTGCTGTTGTTGTTGATGTTGTTGTTTTTGGCGTTTATTGCCGTGCAAACGCATTTTTCCTCAGCTTACACATTCGTTTCGATTTTACACTCACGCACAACAACAACACTTTGTAACCGCACTCGCAGTCAGCGACATTTTGCACTCCAACCAGTTGTTATGTCTGAGTGTGCGTCGAAACTGGTGGCAACACTGCGCGCAAAAACGATAGCATCGTACGCTGTGTGAAGGAAAGCGATAAAAAAAATTCGTTGCTGCACTTTGCGAATGAACAACCGCTGTTGTTATTGCCAAATTTTGTTGGTGCTGATGGCGGTTGGTTGCTTTTTTCGTCTTTTTTTGCTTGCTTTACTCTCTTTGGGCCGGTAGTTGTGGTCCATTTATAAAAAAAATGTATGCCCGGCGTAACTTTTTAATACTTTCGCATTTTAGCTCTTATTTTTTCGATAGTTTTGACTACTTTTTTACGGTAGTTCCTTTTTGCACTCTTCGGTGTATATTGCCGCTGATGGTTGGGCACCGATAAATCGTTGGCAGGACTCCTCAAGGATTTCTAAAAGCGGCAACGCTGTAAAATAAAAAAAAAAATGTGTTTACTGACAAAATTCGCAATTTAAATACTTAACTAAGACTTAATTAAATAATAAATAGGCATGTTTAAATTATTAATTAGTATTTCAAAAGTCTAAAAAAAAAATTTTGTTAGAAAAACGCGGGAACGGTATCTACTATATATCTTTAGGATTAATTCTGAATACTCCCCTCGTTGTTGCGATTGGTTCTTGTTTGCTATACTATCACCAACCGCATTGCACCGTGAGGAAAATTTAATTAAGCAAACGAATATACCTACAAGCTCTGAACATTGAAATCTGAAGAAATAAAGCCCATATCCGGAATCAGCATCACAAATATAATTTCATATATTACCCCAGGTATACGATTTCCGTTCTTGATTGATTTTTTTGGGCTTTTGACCAGTGGTTTTTGAGAATTCCTGCCAAATTCAACTTTGAGAGCTCTGATTTTTATTTAATTTTTATAATTACACCATGGTTGAATTACATTTGCTTCAGAATCCTAATGCATAAAAAAATTCTGTCCGAATGACTGCTATTCATCAAGTGGCAGTAAATTGTATACACAAAAAAAAATTATTTATGCGCGAAACTATGGGCAATATACGGTAAAACTGCATATCTAGGGTTTCTCTCTTACGTCAGGATTTTTTTCTTAAAGAACTTAAAATTTAAAGAATACGACTAATTAAAAAAATATTATTCTGGCACACAATAGCGACACTGTGCCCTATTTTTTATTTTATTTTTTTTTGTGAGCGCTGGGTGTTGCGGCTGTGAGCCACTCGGCTGGGAGTCTGCATTATCCATCACCAGGTTACCCAAGCCCCGAGCCTCTATCGCTTTAATCGTCCTAGGGCCGGTTTCTCCTACTCAACTTAACTTAGTTAACCCAATTTTCTTGACTTAGTCATGATTAAGCTGTGTAAAACGTAGGCTAACTTTTGACTTAAGTCCAAAAAGTGGCTAAACTAAGTTAAGTTGAGTTGGAGAAACCAGCCCCTAATGTTTAAAAAGTATGAACCAATGGTTTCGGCTGCCCATAAAAACACCAAACAGTAGATTTTTGTAGAAGTAGATGTAGGCTACAGGGAACTAACAACGTTCCCGAACTGAACCACGATTGTCGTTGTAAATTTGCACATTTTGAAAGCGTTGTTATAGCTTTAGTGTAATTTAATATATATGTATGTATGTATGTAGTAATTGGAAGTGCAACCTTTAATATCAGACATCAAAAGAGTGAGTTTATAAGCCTCCGATTTTGGTTATTAACAGTTTTTCTTTCCAAATGTTCTGCTTTGTGTGCAGCATGAAAAAAAGTCTCTGACTGAAATTTTCTTAATTTTTTTTTATATTGCAACTCATTACTTAAACATTATGCAAAAGCATATCAATTACTACAAAACAACTTTTGAAATCAACTTTTCGGGCATGGTGCAGTGCTTCTTACAATGCGTTTCTTTGGTATGCTAAGTACTGTGTTTCATATCTACTAAACTATACATATGCATGCATATCTGTGTGTGTTTCCTTTGAATTTCACAGACAATACAAACGGGCTGCAGAAAAAAAAACACATCACTAAACTTTAGGTGCCTTGCTGTTGTTATTGCTGTTGACCGTTGACGTGTATGTACATGTGAAATGTCTAAGCGACACACACACACACACGCATACGCTAACTGCACTATTTCGCTTTCAACTATTTTCGTACTTGAACAACTTTAGCCGCATTTCTTCTGCTTCCTCTCTTTTTAGTTGTAGTTCTCCTCAAAGTTGCTTTGTAATTGTGTTGTTTTTTCGTTCTTCTTTTGTTTTTTTCTATTTTTCTACTTTTTTGTTGTTGCTTTCGCTGTCTATTTACGCGCTTGACTGCGCTTCACTCGTAACCTACATACGCGCGCGCGCTCTTACTTTACTTTGAACTGTTTGGCTCTGCCACATGGCTTGTTTGCTTTGGCTGTCGGCTGCCTGTTTTGTTTGGTTACTCATACGCCATGACATGTCTGCGTTCCTTTCTTAGGTTGTCTGCTTGTTTACTTTCTTTTGTCGGCGATGATGTGCGGAGATTCGGTGCCCAGTACAGAATGGCGCCAACTACGTACATATATGTATATGTATGTTTGTATGTAAATGTGCCAACGGTATTTTGAATTGTATTTTTCTTTCGCATGGAAAACAATTCAAGCGACACAGAGAGTAAACAAAAGCGGTTATCGGCTCACAACTGACTCGCTGGTACTTTCAAATCGCTTCTGGGATACTTGCAATAACAGCGCAGAAAGTGGTTTGACTTGAAGTGCTGGCAGAAGTTAGCTCTTTATTTAGAAAAAAAAATAAATAAAAATTGGGAGAAATCTAAAGACGAAATTCATGTTTTCAAGGTATACATATTTAGGCCACTGATTCCCAAAATACTTAAGCTTTTTCAGATTGTTTTTTTTTGCTATTTGTTGAAAATTTCGCTAAAATTTCAGTTGCTGAAATACGGAAGACTATATTTCTTATCACTCGAAGGGCTTCCAGGTAGCTCGGGATGAGCTAATAGTGTTACAAGAAATTTTTTCAGCACTTTTTTGGAGAACTGCCAACGTTCTAAGATTCTCTGCAGTAACTTCCTTCTTCGAAACATCCAAATCTTTCCCAAAATCCACTTTTTGCTCCTTGTTTTTGTTTTTACAGTGCAGTTCGCGTTTTTTTCTGTTATCCTCTCCCTCGTCAATGTGCATATGCATAAATACATACAAGGCTTGGGGAGCTTTATAACTAAAGGGCGAAAGAGCCAGCTCTTTTAATGGAACTAGTTCAATAGTTCGTTCTTTAAAATCAACTAAAATTTTCTTTGACAACACTCTAATGAAAATGTAAATATAATTTTACAATACATATATGATCTGGTTTTTCGCTATAAGGGCATAAAAAAATATCTGACCGGAATTCACGCTAAAAAGGCATTTTATTTCATATAATGTCCAATGTTTCACAACGTTTGGGGCAATTTGTGTTAAAAAAGTAAGAATTTCAGTTGAGTTTTTGGGGATTTGTTGTTTGACAAAAGACTTTCTCTTTCAGATGCCAAAGCGAGCCGCAATTTACTCCCATTTCGAAGGCAAAATTTAAGAAAAGACAATTAAATGCAGGCACTGCTGAATTTTCATAAACATCCTTTCGCGATTTTGGAGAAACACGACTATGGTTATTGCAATCTTTAATGTGCATGTATGTGTGTTACAGTTGGATTTTTTAGTTCACTTTAAGACTAGTTCACTTCCAATTAGTTCAACACAATGAACTAGCTCTTCTGAGTATTAGTTCGTTCACCTTATTGAACTATAGTTCGCGTAATATAAGGAATACCGAAATGTCCGGCGCGGAAAATGTTTGATGCAGATTTAGGAGTAGCTTTTATAGACAGTGAATGGGTCGACGAAGATGAAAAACAAGAAGCAGCACCAAGGGTTGCACGAATCCTTTCTGCAACAAAGTAATGATCGGAGTCGATGTTTGACCTTCGGAATGGGCGTAAGACTAAAGCATTGGAAGCGTGAATTTCGCGTGTCGCAAAATGTCGTAGGCAGCCACGTTCTTTGAGGGAGGTTTTCTGAAATTTAGCGCTCCAAACTACCATTTTCGGACTTTATCGGAAGTTGATCAGTCTCGGTCTGTTATCAGACATTCCGTCGTGAATTTTCTCGAGATTACCAAGCACGATTTTGCTATCGTAGCGTGGGCAGATCATGAAAACTCTCGGTTTAATTCGGATTGTTGAGAGACGGTCGTCGACTAAGGTGAACGACAGCATTCCGCGACGGGGTCTCACTCGTAGTCTTTTATACGTCTGTCATGGTCGTCAGCGAAGAAGGGGTTCTCATTCGAGCCTGGTCCAAAGTCCACCGCACAACCCATTATGGGAGATGTAGCTCGCTTCCGAATGGAAACACTGGAAGTCATTTTTTGCCACTGCGTGTTGAGCGGGGAGCAAAAGGCTTGAGAAAGCGAGTAGACGATCATTTATGCTTATTCCGCGCAAAGGAGATATAACGTAAAAAACGCTAAAGCATGTAGCGTCTGCAAAAATGTAAAAAAACATCCTGGAACA